TCGTCCTGTGTGAGGGCAATCTCGGCCGTTGTGTACTGCGAGAAGTGTCGTTTGAGCTCGTCCGCGGTTTGTACCGGCGCCTGACGCTGGAACACCAGCCGAGGCTTGCCGAGGATCGTAACACTGCACGAAGTCTCGGCCTCGCCCTTCTCGTTGCTTGCCTTGCACACGTACGTTCCGGAATCTTCCGGGTACGCGTACAGAATGTCCAGCGAAACGAAGCCGAAGTCGAACGTAGTCTTGAACCGGTGAGCCGTCTTCAGGGGCTTCCCGTTGAAGTACCACTGAATGACCAAATGTGGATCATCGACCGGAGTGACCCTGCATTCGAGATGCACAGTGTCTCCTTCCTTTATGTCTGATATCGTGCTGATCAGCGGCGAAACGAATCGTGGCATCTCGATTTCCCGCTTTGACCTGAAAACTCAAGCTTAACAGCGTCTAATGCAGTTGAACATGATAGCCTTTGCCCATGTTAATTCTTGAAGAAGGTAATTACATCTCATGCAAATGCGCAAAAATGGTGTGAAAAAAGGAAACTCGGCCAAAAAGAGATGATGAAAACTTTGGCTGCATCAAATTCATGATTATAGTCCAAGACATGGATCAAACATCCTTAAAACTCAGCCTAGTCGATCACAAACTCTATATGGATGCAACCTCGGCAATGTCTGCATTATCAACAGGGATTATCAGTCAAAAATTCCTTCCTTCCTTCAGTCAGTCACGTTATTATCTTCATTTGATTAATGAGTCTAGTTCAAACACAGGGAGTGCGCGATCACTGTTGAATCGGACGTAAGATCAAAAGTGATGTTGCTTCTTCTGATGGAATGGTAGTGCATGTTGTGACTGAACTCGTTTGGATGACGAAATATACGTTGGTACCCAGGTTTCTGCCCAGGTACGGAAGCTTTGTCTTGAGCAGAACCATTCAGTGTCATCTCAATTTTGCATTATACCATTAACGTCATTTTCATTGATACTTATTGACCATATTGAAAATAAGGGACACAAAACGAGTCGGAGATTATAGTCCCACTTCAGCCAATTCATTTGCGTTAAAAAGCGATGAGGCCATTCCACGTCTAAATCCACAAATGTTCCGTAAGCTTATGGAATCACATGAACGTTTTTGCCGATCACTTATCTGTCTTTACATGGTAGGAAATCAAGCAGGCGTGCAATCGCATTTGTCATTGCAACAAACGGAGATATTTCCGCTGTCACACAAAACGCAATTAATAAAGCTTCGCCTTCTGGTTATGTCAGATCGGTTTTGGCATTCGATCGTTCGTTGAACGATTTTATTGACAGGAATGTGTCGACGCTTTATGATTTGAGACACTGTCCACATATGAGCCAACGACTCTGACCACTCGGCAACAATCAGCTACAAGACTTACAAAACCCG